TCTATTGCTGAGGTCTCTATTGCTCAGGAAATACATCTTTAGGAATTCTGTTTGCCCCCAGGTGGCACAGAATACCTTTCTTTCTATATTGCATATACAGGGTGGTCTTACAAATTAGAAACAAAAGTCTACATAAACACACAAGCATACTCACATATTGGCATAAATGTCACTTGTTACCAAAACATCAGTTTCAATGGCTACCCAATAATCAGTTGTATGTACTTAACCATAATTTAACCATTTCCCTAATACTGCACATTCAAATTATTTCCAATTTTACTATCACGTAAAATTTTCAATTAACATGCTTCTGTCTTCATTCTCTTCTCCAGCTATTTCCTTAGAAATATTTCTATTAGTGGAATTACTGAATTAAAGGATAGGAAGTTGTGTAAAACATTCATTACAGTTTGACAAATAGACATAAACTTTCTGCAGAGCAATTTACACTCCCGCCCACAGCATACAAAAATATCTCCCCATATTCTCATCAGCACTACCTATTATCTTTAAAAACCTGTAGCTAATTTGGAAAGATGTGATTATTTGTGAAGTTTGACATTTTTTCTCATACTATAATTAGCCATTTTATATCCTCTGTGACTTTTCTGAGTTTTTTTCCCATATTCTTTTGTGATGTTCATAATTTTCTTTAATTCTTAATTCTTACATAGTAAGAATTTGCTGGGGCATTTCAATTAAGAATTTTACAGTTACTTTTGGGGCACCGGGCTGGCTCAGGTCATGATCTCAGGATCATGGGGTCAAGCCCCAGGTCGGGCTCCCCACTCAGCAGGGACTCTGCTTGTCCCTCTCCCTCTGCCCCTCCTCCTGTTCATGTTCTCTCTCTCTCAAATAAATAAATAAAATCTTTTTTAAAAAAGAATTTTACAGTTACTTTCATAAACTGATGAATAGGTTTTTTTTGTCTTCACTAGATTTTCGTATTAGGGATATGAGTATATCTTGAGTGAATTGGGGAGCTTTCTATCTTTTCTTATGATGCAGAATATACATCCTATGGATCATATTTGTTTTCTACAGGTTTGAAGGAATTCAGTTTCAAATTAAGTTTTTACCAGTTTCCTTCAAAATTATCAGTCTACTCAGGTCTTCTTGATCATTTTCAGTTTCCTAGATATTCATCCATTTCATTCAGACTTTCAGTATATTAGCCTTTAGCACACAGCATTGACTTACTCATTTAAAAATATTCCTTTTAGGTGTGCCTGGATGGCTCAGTTGTTTAAGCGCTGACTATTGGTTTCCATTCAGGTCATGATCTCAGGGTCCTGAGACTGAGTCCCGAATCAGGTTCCATGCTCAGCAGGCAGTCTGCTTGAGGATTCTCTCCCTTTCCCTTTGCCCCTCCCCCTGCTCACGTACTATCTCTCTCAAATAAATAAATAAATCTTTTAAAAAATTCCTTTTACCTGTATTGATCTCTTTATTAGTCTCAATTTGATATATTTACATTTCCCTTTTGTTGTTTCATCAGATGTCAGATTATTTCATTAATTTAAAAAAATCAGCTCCTAGATTTATTAACTCAATTGTTTTATTATTTTCAAACTAAGTTTATTATTTTCTTGCTCTTGGGTTCCATATATTTACTTTGTTTTCCCTAACTTTTTGAATTGAACTCTTTTTAAATAAAGGAAAATAAACCTATAAAATTTCCTGAGTACAGATTTGACTTTCCTCTATACATTTAATAGATAAGGTTTTCACTTTCAGTATGTTGTAAATAGTCTAATTTTGTAAATTTTTTGATCAAATAATTATGAGCTTTTAATAAAGATCTGGGGTTTTTCTATGATGTATGTTACTAATGCAACTTTAGTGCATTGTGGTATAGGAACTTGGTCTACACAAAGGGAAAAAACAATGATGGTATTTTGTGACCTAGTGTATGACCAATTTTAATGGCTCAAATTCTCACAATCTTAATAGCTTAGTTGAACAGATTTTAGCATATGCCTTTTTATTTGTGGGAGGCAGATTCTCAAGTGAAAGAGTACTCTCTTCTCTGAAATTCATCCTCTCTTCTTCAGGTCGATTGATGCCATCCTCCCACCCCTTAGCATCTCTTATTTAGACAACTCAATAAACTCAAATTTGATGTTGCAGCCTTCCATCAATAAGGCCGGGAAAATACCCATCTCCTACTTAAAAGTTTTCATGGTTCCCTACTGCATATGAAATTTAGGTCAAACATTTTCTCCATGATATTCATAGCTTTCACAATCTCTCCCCAATTATCTTTCCAGGCTCCTCCCAGTATTCTTCGGCTCACCTATGCTCCCACCCCCAGTGCCCATCTCCGTGCCCTCACTGCACTGAGCTACAAGCTGTTTCCTGAATTCATGACACTCTTACCTTTACTTATTGATGTAATCTTTACAGTTGTGAATATTTCTCATTCTACGCGATTGCTCTCTGCATCCCAAATTTAGACCAGTGTCTACAGTGGATCTCCTAATGTTCCTAAACCTTTACTCCTCTACCAAATCAGATTTCCAGAGAGCTCCGTGCCTGGACTAGCTTCAAGACAACTCTTGTACCTGGTAGAAATGCCCTCACAGACTAGTATTTAGAATGTGAGCTCTAGGAGGAGACAGCCTCAGCAAGAGCCAGTGTGAGAGACGGTCATAAGAATATTCAAACTAACTGAAGGCAACCTTTAAAGTTCCTTTTACAAAACTTACATGCGAATTCTCCCTTGGAGAACAGTACATAGAAAACCATGGTTATTGACAGCCTGATGTGCTATCAATTAAAATAATGAAAGATATGTAATCCACAATGTCTCTCTTATTTTGGCTACCCAAAAGCTCAGGATTTTATTGCTTCCTGGTCTAGTTTTAATGATGTGTCAATCAGCTTTGGGACTTAAACTGTTCAAACTTCAGTTTCTTGGTCTATAAAATGAAGCTAACTAAAAATAAATAAATAGACAAACAAATAAATAAAATGAAGGTAACTAATACCTACTTTGCAGAGTGGTGTGTACAAAGTCAAGCATGGTGTCTGGCACATTCATTCAACAAATATCTACTGACTGACTTGTAAGAGACTGAATTCACAAATGGACAAAGGCCAGATCATATATAAAAAATAGAACTCTGACCCACGACCTGTCCAGGAAAGCAACTCCTTTATCTACAATAAACTAGCCAGGAAGCCAGCCTACTACTTCCTACTTGTAGGAAGTCAGACTACTATCTCTCCTAATAATCCAAAAAGCTAAACAATAACGTCTATGACAATTGGCCCCAAATGGCTAGGAATTGATTACTGATAGTTTCTCTAATTTTTGTCTCCATTTCCACTTGATATCAACCAGAGAAAGCCATATATGTACTCCTAACCAGTCACATAGGATGCCCCACTTCTAGTTAGCCTGCTTCCTGTTTCCCCATGCCAAGGGCATCCAATCAGAGCATCCCTAAAGCCTTTTGTCTACTGAAGAGCTTTCCCATTCATCTGCCTGCCTTTGAGTCTCTGCCAAAACATAAGTGATGGTGCCTGACTCCTTGTTACAGCAAGCTCAGAATAAATAGCCTCTGTTTATTTCTACATTTCCATGTATAAGATACTGTGCTTAGTGCTAGGAATATAATGGTGAACATGGTCCCTGCCCTTCTGGAGTTCACTTTCTAAAAGTAAAGCCAGAAGATCACTTGGCTGACAAATACACAGAGGAAGGCAAGCAGAGCCCAGTGAATGGCATGAAGGAAATCAAGAAAAGGATGTAATGGCTAGTAACTGGGTGTCAGAGGTGGTCTGCCTCAGATAGGCAGTTAGAGAAGACCGCTCTGTGTGGAAGAAATCTGAGCTGAAACATGAAGGATGAGAGTGAGCCAGCCACATAGAGAGGGAACGTGGAGGATTCGAGACAGAAGGCTTAGAGAACAGTTCAAGCCCCACGGTGGGAAACCACCTGGCCAGTTCTAGGCCAGTGAGGCTGTGGTGTATTGGGCAGAAAGAGTGGTATGAAATGAGGTAAATAAGTAATAGTTATGGCAAATAATTATTGTTCTGCTCTAACAATAATGATTGATAGCTTGCTTGATAGTGGTTTTATTATAACTGGGCCTTAAATTATAAGCAGTTTCTAATACTTTTGAGGTGGCCATTACAAAGAAAAGAATAAATAAAGTCATTGATAAGAAATAAATTTAGTAGCTAACATTTATCAAGAGCTTACTATAATGCTTTATATGACTTAAACACTTAATTCTCCGAGTAATCCCATGTAGTAAATACTATTATTCCTTGTTTTTTGCAGATGAGGAAGTGAGACACAGTTGAATAAACCTGGCAGAGCTGACACAGGGAAGAAGTTGAAGAGCAGGATTTGAATCAGGCAGTCTGAATCCAAAGCCAGACCTCTTAGGCAATGCTGTCTCTTCAGGGGGCAGGGCTATTGTAAATCAGTTATTTGATGGTACACACAGGTCCTCCTAGGTTTCTAATAGTTATTATGCTTGCTAGTAGCAGGAAAATTTTGAAATTCATCATCTATAACCTATTATCAAGGATTCACACATCTTTAAATTCTATTTATTATGAAGGATTAGGGCCCAATGGAGCATAAGAAAAATTTCCCTCAGAAGAAAAATAAAGAACTCTAATTAATTAACATTTTAATCATCATTCTCAATTTGCAGAATTTATCCATTATTGAATCTTTATCCATAATTTACTCTCCAGATGTTTATGTGGGTCAAAGAATACCCACTTTGCAAATAGTTATGGGTTTGCTCTCCTGGGGAAACTAATAATAGGTGCTATTAGACCCAATGAAGATTGATTTCCTTATTTACATGAATTTGATTGGAGCAAGTAAGCAGGCAAAATAGTCTTGAGCGCTGCTAAAAATATCTTTTAATTGCTCATTTTCCAGGTGGAGTTCTGTGTTAGTGCATAACCTCTTGACTGCCCGAAGCCCACCCAGATCAAAGCCAGGCCGTGTCTGTGATCCGCTCACTTACATTCCCATCATGGTTTGGGCAAGAGAGAGGCTTTCCGGCAGCCACAGCGGTGACCGTCTCCAGGATGGAGGACTCCTCAACGTTGCTGCCCGGCGTTCGCTGCAGCACATCCATCAGGTTCGTGATGAAGAAGTTGTTCTGGAGCGCGGCCACCCCCTTCTCGGGCAGGATGGAGGTCTGGCGGCACACAGGGCAGGAGAGGGTGAGACTGTGGGCGGGAATGTAGTTCTGCAGGCACCTGTTGTGGAAGCAGAAGCAGGGGAACTGTCAGCACAGGGGGCTCACGAGCGAGAGCAGGACCACCTCCTTCCGCAGGTAGCACGCATGTTCTCTGCACCTGTATGGGCTCCTTTGCAGAAACTCCCTCTGGAGTCTCCTCTCCTAGGAAAATAAGATTTCTGAAACCAAGAGGTAAGGTGTACTCACAACTGATTAGGTGCTGTCAACTGATTAGGCAAGTGATTATGCTCAAGGAAAAGAATAACGTCATTTACTCTGGTGGCGTTCCATGGAGCCTTGCCATGCTGGAGCAGCATCAGCCTCTCCAGGGAGCTTGGAAGAAGTGCAGAATCCTAGGTCCCTACTCCAGGCCTGCTTGAATCAGGTCTCCGGGGAGTTTATATGCACATGAAAAGTAGCGAAGCATTGGTCTAGAATATCCAGTGTCGTGTTCACAGATTTGTGGACCTTTACAATGGGGAGAAACGGGTCAAAGTTTTCTGTTGGTGTTGAAATGTTCTTTACATACAAAAGCATAAGCAGATCTCAGATGTTAAAAACATATCCCGGTGAAAATGTTGTGTTTGAAGCAGGGACAGGACACCCAGAGTCACACCAACATGATCTCTTCTTGCCTCTCCTCAACCGGCAATTAATTTAGTTAATTAATTAATTAATCAGCAAAATGCATTGCTAATCATGACTTAAGTATACGCTGTTTGCTAGATTCAAAGTACTTGCAATAACCGCAGGAAGTAGGTATTTTAGACGCATGAAGGAACACAGGTGGAGGGAAGCGAAGTCGCTTGTTTTCAGAACTTGAGTGGACAAGGGCAGAGCAGGAATTGAAACCCAGGCAACTGGGCACCAGAACCTTCGCTCTACATAACTACTCTGCGTAATGTTTCCCTGTTGCTCCACCAAGCGGAATTCGAGAACCTCTGATTCAGCCTCATTCCCCGTATTATGTAGAGAAGGAAACTGACATCAAGGAGGTTAATTGACTTTCCTATGTCACAGAAGCAGCTAGAGCTGAGTCAATACCAGAAACGAAACAGCTTTTGCTAAGGTCACGGAGGGCATCTACATCCAGACGACAGACATTTTTCACTCCCATCCTTCTCAGCAGCACTCATCAAACTTGACCACTGCCTCCCAGCCATCGTCTTTTGAAACTTTATCTTCCCTTGTTTGTGACAGCACACTCACTTGGTTCTCCTGTCTGCTCTATCTTTTCTACTGAGCCATACAGGCTCGGTTGTTGGCACCCTTCTCTCCCAGGGAAATCTTATCCACGTGCATGGCCATAAGCACAACATTCCCACACTTCTGTGTCTTCCACAGATGTCTCCTCTGAGCCCCTGATCTCTACACCAACAGCCTTCTTGGCATCTCCTCTTAGATGTCTCATGGGTCCTAAAACTCACCATGTCCAAACCCAAAGCTATGTTCTTCCTCCAAACTGGGTGCTCTTCCCCTCTCAACGAGCAGCACCTCCATCCATTCATCTAGGCAAAGCAGGTACTGGTAGCCATGCTGGAATTTCCTTACAGTAATTTCCTTACAGTCCTTCGTTCTCCACATCCAACCCATCACCCAAGGCTGGAAATGCCTAAATACCTTCCAATGTTTCCAGTTCTTGTCATCTGATTTACACCATCCTTTCCTGGGTTTCTGGAGTAGCTCTATACACTGTCACCCACCCTTAAATCCTCTAACCTTTCTCCATATTGTAGCCAGAGTGACCTCAAAACTCCTTTCACGCATTCCATAGGGACTTGCTGTGATAGGAGCTTGAAAATCTCCACCACCGGCCATTAGATGAAGGAACAGAAGTGGATGGGGCTAGACCCAACCGAGAGGGCTGGAGGCAGACCCAGGACAGCGGGAAGTGTTGCTTGTTACCTGTTAGAGGGAGTAAATGGGAACCAAACTAGTGCCGGCTGGGCGCTGAGCACAGGGGGATGGGCGGCTCCGCCCCCTCCGACTGAGTGCCTCTCTGTGCTGTATAGAAAGAGGCCGGCTGCTGTACATCAAATAATGATCTCACCATGTGCGCCAAGGGGCAGAGGGCACGTAGCTGGTGTGCGTGTTGTGGCTACACCCATTAAGCGGGGAGGAAAAAATCACTCTCCATTTAGTCATTTTGGAATATGAATTACACAGTACTTACATCAAAGTATAAAATGAGTAAAGTAGAAAGTGCTAGTGCCCTATATACCACCACTAAAACAAACAAAACTCTACACAAACCCACACACACACACACCCCAAAATAACCCTCTACAGAGCAAACAGACAAAAAAACCACAATGACCAGTAACAAATCCACCTTCTCCCTCTATCCATCACCACCATGTGGTTATTCTGTTGCAACTGAGATCTTCCTAAGCAAATCAAATTTAACAAATGTCTATGAAATTGATGGCAAATGTAATTAGCATTAATTTGAAGCCATTGGAAATACCAATGTCCTATTCTATAACAAGAATTAAAGCATTTTAATTATGTAAATAATTAAAGCATTATTAATTATGTAAATAATTAAAGCATTATTAATTATAATAATAGGCCATGTATTCAACAAGATGTTATAAAACATAATTATCATATTTATTTTTAAGAAGAAAATACAACCTTACTAGGGAAATATTTAAATTAGACCACAGATAAACAAATTACTAACAAACTTTATATGCTTAATTGTTTATGTGCTAAGTTAAATAAGAAGGTAAAGATGTATTTTGATAACTGATTAACTCAATGGAAAAAAACTATCGAAGAAGGATAAAGAAATATGTTTTCATACATAGCGAATTGCATATTCAGGTAACTTATAATTATTTCATACAGGTTTTTCTTCATCTGAAACATCCTATGTTCGTTAGTATGTGTCTTCTGAAGTATCTTTGAGAGGAAGCTCTCCCTTTTAACTAACTCCTCAATACACAGGTATTTTACTGATGTGTTCTTTGGGAGGAAATAATAGATTTTTTTTTTAAATAATAGATTTTTAATTGGCCCTCACCAAAGATCCTCTATGAGGGAACTGTGGTCGGCAAAAATTGTTTGACGAAGAACAAAGGGAAAATTTAAAAATTTTAAATCTTTTTTTTTAAGATTTTATTTATTTATTTGACACAGAGAGAGCACAAGCAGGGAGAGTGGCAGGCGGAGGGAGAGGGAGAAGCAGACTCCCCGCTGAGCAGGGAGCTGGATGCAGGACTCAATCCCAGGACTGAGGGATCACGACCTGAGCCGAAGGCAGTCGCTTAACCAACTGAGCCACCCAGGCGCCCTAAAAATTTTAATCTTAAAATATTTAGTGCTCCATGTCCCGTGGAAATGAATCAGTAGCTACTGGATTGCTTTCTCTCACTTATAATTATTTAAAATAGAGTAAATTATTGGTAACTCATGATTATGTTTCTCGATGTCTATCATAAGCACAAAAGATTCATTGTCTCCCCTAGGTAAAGGAGAATCCTGGAAAGAACCCTTTGGTAGGTTGTAAGAGATCAGTCTATGAACCTCTCTTCTCTGGGCACAAAGGAGGCTTACCTCTCGCAAAAAGTGTGCAGACAGGGGAGAACCTTGGGATTCTTGTACCGTTCCAGGCATATACTGCAGATCAGAAACTGCTTGTCAATCTGGCGCACCACAGGACTTGGGATGTTGGTGGCTTCACTGGCCATCCTAGACCACTGACATGGGAGGCCGGCTGTGTTTGACCCTGCACGCTGCTGCTGTCAGACAGGAAAGACACATAATAACTGGTAAGTGCAAATCAATCACTGGTTCATTCGCTATAGGCGTGGTGCTGTGAATACAGGTAGAAGTCCATGCCGGTGACCCCGAAATGACCATAACCAACACTCAATGCTGGCAAGGGAATGCAGTGAGATGCCTGTTCATTTTGCAAATCAATAAAATGGTCCCATGTTCACCATGCAAACAAAACAAATTAGAAGACGTGTGTTGTCTAAAGAGGCATGTTTGCCAGGTTTCAAAGCAGTGGCAGCTGAGGGGATAAATACTTATACAGCTCTGCCTGTTCGTTCCTTCATTCATGACTATATTTGACTATATGCCTACAGTCTTATTAAAATATAGTCCATATTAGGGGCGCCTGGGTGGCTCAGTCAGTTAAGCATCTGCCTTCGGCTCAGGTCATGGTCCCAGGGTCCTGGGATTGAGCCCCGAATCATCAGGCTCCCTGCTCAGCAGGAAGCCTGCTTGTCCCTCTCCCACTCCCCCTGCTTGTGTTCCCTCTCTCGCTGTGTCTCTCTCTGTCAAATAAATAAGTAAAATTTTAAAAAATATATATAGTCTATATTAAATAGAATAGTGTCATTAAGATAAAATGTGTTTTCCCAACTATTGTACTTCGGGGATCAAAATGTCACTCCAAAATATGCCATCTTGACATAAGGATTATTTTGAGCTGAAGGCAATTGAGAATCAGCAGACATGGTGCGGACATGATGCGGGGTGGCGGGAGGGGTTGGCAGGCGGGGAGAGGGGTGTGGGCACTCCGCCTCTCCCATCTGCCTAAAAGCAGAGCACAGACTTCCCATTTGTAAAGGAAATCGTCATTTATAAAGGTGCCTCGCTCTCCCATACCAAAAAGAAGAGAATCTTAATCATCACCAGAGATAGCATGGGAGAGGAGTCTGCATAACAAAGCTTACTAAGCAACCCTTATGTACCATACATTTCCTGGTCACTTTCCCACAATTTACTGCTCCTAAACCTCCTTTTCCTTTGTCTAGCCACTTCTCCACAATTTGTCATCCTTTGTTAAAATAGTATGTAAGCTCCCAGGTCGAACTGCCTCTTTGGGTTTTCGCTTCTTTTCTGTGAAGCCCCCAGGCATGTAAAATTAAAAATATTAAATTAATAAACATCAATAGAATACAGTATATATACTATTTTGCAAAAATAAACTATCAATTAAATGTGTACACCCTTTTCTTCTGATAATCTGTCTTTTGTCAGTTTAATTCATGGGCCTCAGTGATAGAATTTAAGTGTGTAGAGGAAAAGTTTTCCCACCCCTACATACTGTTAACATGCCAGGATGGAATAATTAGAATTTTCTATTAAAATCTTTGTATGTGGCTCAGAGTGTTTTCTTCAGAATTAAAAGTGTATAGATTCCTGGCCAAGATGTATTTGCTGTGGAGCAGGGACAAAAGGCAGATGATTCCTATTATTTTAAGAAATGTCTGTCAGTATTCATGTGTGGGCATCTGAGGGACGGGTGAAATTAATTCAGAGAAGGTTTCAAAATGTGAGGGATCATGCCAGAAAAACAGAATTAGAAGAGGGCAACAGAGAAAAAAGTGGAGGTCCTCTAAGGGAGGCAAAAGTTACAACGTAAAACACAGCTTCATTTACCACCTTGAAGAACATCTGGCTTCTATCCCAAAGAAGTAAACCAAGGTTAAGGTAAAGCTAAAGTTCACTTCCTAATTTTCTAAATACTTTATAAGGTGTCTATGGCCTCTTCAGTTCCCAACAGAAACACTCTTTTGCAAAAACCAAAACCAAAACAAAACCAAAAACCACAAAAAACAAACAGAAAAACCCCACAGTTGATTTTCAATATGACCCTAGACAGGAAGTAATATTATTCTCATTCCACAGATTTTTGAAAACCGAGGCTCAGTTAAGAAGTTTGCCAGAATGCAAAACCCGTAGCCTGTTCACTCCTTAAACCACCGCACCTCCCTTAAAACACACCTTAACTCCCTTAAAAAACACTCCCTTAAAAGACACCTTGTGTTTTAAGAAGGCTGTATATATGTACGACACAAGTTTGGTTTATATATAACATTTTAACTTGGTCTGGGATTTGTGTTTAAAGCTGGGAAATACATATTTACAGAATCAACAATTCTACACTTTTTAATGGAAACTCTTTTCAAACACGAATGATAGTTGTTCTTTCTCCCCACCAAATCACCAAATTTTTTAAAAACCATGTCAACTTTTATTAAGAAAATTCTATTTATATGTATTTGAGTATAGTTACACACATGACACACCCATTTTCCAACTCTATGTTTCTAGATAGGATCATTAAAGAGCATGACTAATAAACAGATAGAACCTTGTGAAAGCACCTGTTACACAAAAGTGTCACATTCAGATAGAACTCTCTGCATTAGTTAAAACACTGTGTGACGTATCTAATGAGCTGGCATTATCTGCTAACTCTTTCATAGAATGTCTCCCTAAAGAACTAGCATGGAGAATGATATTCATTGATTGGATTAAATGTGGCTCATCTCTCAGGAGCTCAGAATGTTGGCACATCATCCGCTTTTCTTTAACCACGTCCCTATGACATCAGAATAGGGAAGGAATGGATTTGTCTCTCTTTAAGATAAGGAAACCAAAGCAGAGGGTTTAAATGACTTGCCCAAGGTCATCGGGTAAAATCAGTGAATCAGAAAGCTCAGATTTCAAGTCTTCTGCCTTATCTGATACCTAACCTTAAACAAGTTTAACACTTTCCAGTATGGTGCGAGTGTGTGTGTATGTGTGTGTGATAAAAATTATGAGGTGCTCACTTCAGTAGCACTAAAATTGGAATGATACAGATGATTGGCTTGGCCCCTGAACAGAGACGATGAACAAATTCAGGAAGTGTTCCATATTAAAAAAAAAAAAATCATATTGAACTTTTCAGTTAAAACCAGTTAAAAATAATTTTAATTTGAATAGCTTTTAAAAAGTTTCAAATTGTTATCAAACTAAAATTGATTTTAGTCTTTTTTTAATCTTAGAATTTTAGGGTTTGGACAAGGAAAAAAAAACATTTGCTTTAATCAAATGATATACATTAGCTAAATGAAATTTCCTGAGGTGACATTTTTATTTTCAACAGTGAAATAAAAACATTTCATTCTAATTTTCATCCTAATTTTATGATAATTATTGTAGTGAGTGAGAGTAAGTCTTCATTAGTATTGTTAATTTATATGGTAAATTAAGTTTACTCATGAACACTGATTTAAAATCATGACAATATTACAGATCTGTCACAAGTGACTTGTTGAAGACATCTGGATTTGCAGGACTCTCAGAATCAACACAAAAGGTTTCCAACCCCCAAAGAGCCCCAAACTGAGACTTTGCCAGGGTAATGATCATTCCCTGAATATAACTGGATACGCACAATAGAAAGACAATTTGACTAGTCCTAAAGGGATAATGTGCTGAGGAAAATGGAGGCACAGAATGTGCTAATAAGCACCATGGGAAACTTTCCATCAGTCTGAATATGCCGAAAGGAATACACATAAAATGTATGACAACCTTTCATCAAAGTGTTTGGGCACTACCAGTTTCTGGTCGTTTTGATTAGAAAAGCAATAAATACTTATCTAGATTCTCAGCTGTTCTCCTTTCCCCATCTTGGTTTCTGAAGTGTCAGAGATCCTTCTTACCAGGCCAGCAGAAATAAGCACGTGATAATAACAGAGATCAGAATACAGAACTACTCTTCTCCTGGAGGTCCACAGAATCAATTTCTGGAGAGGAGCACCCGCAAACATGCCAGGGGTGGACTTTATCTTTGAAGGAACCTGAATCCTTTTGGATGTAGGAACTAGCATGGCGCATATTGACAAAAGGCCAATAGAAAGGAAATGACAGGGAAGGGAAGGCAAGCAGAACCATTTTTAAACTACAGAAATAGCCCACATTAGTGTGCTATTACATTAAGCAGCTCTGAGAGCTCTCACTATGTGGGGAGACTGGCTGAGTTTCCTTGTCAGGGGAAAACCAACAGCAATAGTGCTTACAGAGGGGTTCAGGCCTCCTCTCAATAGCAACTTCTCAACTGGACCATTCTGTTCAAAACTGACACTTGCCCCCTCACCCCCTGCCATCCCCTAGTACTTGCCATCCCCTGTCCTTGCTCTATGCCTCTCTATAGCACCGGTCACTTTGCGATATATGTGTTTCTGTTGCACATTGTCTCCTCCCCACCTCTCCAGGATGTTAAGATTCACGAAGGCAGGGATTTCTGTCTGACTGCTCACTGCAGGAGTCCCAGCACCTAGAACTGCGCCTGGTACATGATAAACACTCATTCTTTCTTTGAAGGAACTGAACAAATATCACATGGGAATGGACTCAGTCCCAGTAGCAAAAAAGAGTGGCATGGGTTGACTTACACAATAAAGAGCATGGCCGTCACCAGTCATGTGAATGTTTTCATTTGACATCAGACATTACCTGCCTTCCCACATGATCGTCTAATCTCTGGCAAGATAAGCTATCAGCCAGAGGGTAAATATTCAGGGATATACTTTAACACACTCAAAAGTGCAGAAAAGAAATTGAGAACCACTGAGGACACATCTTGCAGACATACAAAGTCTAAGAAGGTTGACACACAGATTCCTCATTAGTGGGGGGTATGCCAACTCAGTGGCTTTTGAGGATAACAACAATGCAATGAGCATGGAACAGAATCCTGGGGCATAGAAAAACCCCATCCCAGCATTTCTTGCCTCGCGTCATCACTGGTATTTTTCCTGGCTCACATCCTCAAATCTCCTAGAACTTGGTGGAAACTACAACCAACTGGAAAAGCAAAACTTGAGAGGAGGAGAGGAAACAAAGAGAAAATGCCTGTGTCCAAAATTCTAGGGTTGAGACCACAATTCCCACCCCAGATTATACCATTTAAATCAGAAAATGATCCCAACGTTTTATTGCTGACACCAGAGTGAGGAAGAGGAGGAAGGGAGGGTGGATGACCAATGACAAACTGAAAGCCCTCTTCTTGAGAAGGGGAGAGAGTTGCTGACAACTTGTTGGCTGGGCTAGGAAACACAGTTGGGAAACAGGTCAAGATTCCTTTAGAAAATAAAATTTTAACATGGGATATGTGGGTAGGAGGCAGCATATTTGATTATATACCATCATAAAGGCACTAGATTCCATTTCTGTTTAGTTTTATGGCATTCTTGGGTTACTGCTTCTCTTCATTGCCACTCAGCTGGCTTTATTTATTAGCAATGTTGCATTTTTGCTGTTCTTGGACCAATGACGGTGGTGCAGGCATGCTAAAAGCAGCTTCCCAAGAAGTTAAAAATCTTCTGGTAGATTTATAGAAAGAAAATCTCAAACCATTGGGATTGTCTGTAACACAATGTACTATCTTTTACCCACCAGGACAGGTGGTACCTAGAGCTCAAGGCACAGGTGAAAACATGCTTAAAGACACAAGGTATTTTTAGTTTTGAAAATTTATGAGCATATTCTTATTCACCTGCAACTGAATTTGCATTGTTACAGAGGACTTGACTAGAAGAAAGAAAAGAGGACAATCTTCAGTGAAATTAAAACAGGGTGACCTATTTCTAGTTAAATCAAGCCTCTATCCCAAATGGGCCATTTTGTAAATTAGAAGGCCAGATGCAATATCTGTTCCGACAGTACGGGCATGAACGCGTGTGTTTGGGGGAGAGTGGGTGTACATTCAGGAGGCCATCCACTTTAACTTCTGTCTTCAGGCAAGGATGTGCCCAAGCTGTCCAAGGGTTCCTCTTATTTCCAGGGTCGGATGTATGACAGCTTCCCAGGTTGCTGGGTTTTACCATATGGAAGCTGATTTATGCCAAGCCCCCAACTTGTCTTTAGGAGATTTATACCTATTTCCTCTACCTCTTAGTATAGATAACTGTTAGCCATTGCCTTCTTCATAGAAGTCCTCACCTTTTACAACAGAATTAAGTCAGTTCTGAAGATCTGCCTTGGGTTTTCTAAGTTGCAGAAGGCTGGGTCTGTGTGATGGAGTGTTAAGGGGTCAGGCTGACTGACATTCATCTTACAGTGCCCTGGGGCAGTCAAGATGGTGGGGTCTCTCCCCACATCCATCATCTTGTCAAGTCTCCTCCTTTGCTCTCCTTTGGGACTACAAGGAGGCTACATATTCTGGGACCACAGAAGAGGCAGAGGACAGCCAAGGCCCTAAGCTCTGGGAGTTGGGCGAGGTTAGCAAGAAAGGGGAAGAGAAATTTATTCTATTTCAGAACCTCACAAGGCATAGGCCCACACAACAGCAAACCCCTTTTTGCCCCCGGTGGATAGGAAGTGCATTATTTCATTCTGTTGTTGATTAGAATAAATGTTTACCTTAATATGTTTTCAAGAAGAAGACTAAAAAACACTTAATGGAGGAATGGCGGTGATTGAGAACATCAAGGCAGACGGAAGGTAAGATAAAAGAGGGCAGAAAAAATAGCATGCAGATAGTAATGAAGGTTCCTTCCACGGTGCAGTCTGAATAATTACACCGGGCTCATTTATTCCTCAGTATCTGGTTTAATCTAAACCTCCAAATTCGAGCAGGAAACCTGATCTGTTAATTTCAGATAACCTGCGCAATAACAACATCCAGAGAACTCTAACAGCCAACCCCATTATAGAACAAATTCTATTCTGACACTAAAACCCTTACATAAGTGATAAAGGGCACAGATGGCATCAGATGTTTAAAAAAAAAGGTAATCACAGGTGTGCGCAAATTATAATTATGCCACAATTAGAAGTAATTCAGTCACATTTTTAAAGAAAAAAAACTATGAGAGTAAATAATTTGGCAGCAAATTTTTTAGTTTGAAAGTATTTCTCTTCAATAATACATACAAATGTTTCATTAAAGTCTTAGTTTTAATCGAGAGATAAGGGAAAAAAAGCACAAGGGAGTCTTAAAAATTAAACCGAGGTTAAATTTTTTTAAATTGCTACATATTTATAATTTCTTCGACTTAAAGATATTTAAGAGAAAGTCATAAGTTTGGAGAAATTAATGCCTCCAGATATCCAAATGAAGGACATTTTCAATTCTTAGTAAGACAAAGAATGAATATTTTTACTTATTTCACAAGCAACGAAATCCACTAAGCTTTTATCATATAAGTAAAAAAAAAAATAAGACATCTCAGGATTATAATACTAAGTATGGTGAAAAATATGTATAGATTTTATTCTCCATTTTTAAAAATATATGGAACATATATCATGCATCCGTACTTCTTGAAACAGGCACATTCTATCAGAGAACATTTGTACATTCAGTCCTATTGTAACCTTTCCAATGCAAATCACTTGGGTCTTTCTAGGAGAAAACTGGAAAGAAATACTTAAGAGGTTTAGGAAAGGCCACTACTCATGTCTCTGTAACAAAAAGCTGCTTTCTCATACCACAGCATGCATGAAACTTCTCGTTGTGTGCTTCCTTGGGAGGGGCATGCATTATTTAACATTACAGCGGGTTAGGAATGGTGCTGCTAAAGCATCTGCCTGAAAATAATGAAAGGCAGCAGATAATAGGTTCACACTAAGCAGAACTGAATCCTAATACTTAAGAAATCATTTTAAGAATCTGGACAAACAATGCCTCTCCTTACATATTCTAATCTAAAAAATAAATAAATAAACAAAACCTCTAACAATTTATTCACCAGGAATAAAACTGCAATAATTCGATCTAAGCCAAAGAAACAAACTAATAATTTTTAAAATGTTTCATTCTGAATCTAGGTCTGCTCCTTAAAGCAATGACATTGAATCTATCTTAAGACAGAAATATCATTTTACCTTTTGGTTCAGAAATCCACTTATTAACATTCAGTATTTAGCTTAAAATAAATAGCCTTTCTACTTGCTTTCCTAGCCTCCCAAAATAAGGAATAATGACAGGGTGGGGCACACTAGTCGAGAAAGCTGTCAGAAAAATCGTGTCCACTGTTTCAGGAAGCAAACCTAAGGTCCAACCCAAGGATTTTTTTTTCTTCTGTGTAAAGCTACCATTGAACTCCACCCAGATTTGAGTGTACTTCAGAAGCAGGGGAAAATGTCAAAAAACAAAAACAAAAACAAATTATCTTCTGCATATTTGCTGATCATCATGGCTTTCAGAATTCAGAGGGTCGAGTCATGCATTATGAATGAATGGGTTTCCAATGGTAACTGGGAACCGTAGAGCTCAACCCCAGGGTTCTCAGACGGAGGACCGGGTGGGGGAAGGGTCGAATCGCACATTCTCCTCCACCCTAGGGTATGGAGGAAGGAATCCTGCAACTTAAATATTTCATCCCCATCTTCCCACCCAACGAAGAAATGCTGGGGGGGGGGTGGATCTTCTTTTTAAAATAAACTGAATACACATTAAAATGGAAAACAAGTAAAAACAAAAATCTAGTCAGATCACATTAGGAACTTGAGAAGAAAATCTTGCATGACTCTCCCTATTCTTAATTTGGTGTCTTTGTTTAAGCAAAGAGTGGGTCTCCCTCAATCTGATAGTTACAGAGCATGCAGCATCACCAAGAAGGGCGGAAAAAAATAAAAAGAAATCAAGAAAAAGAAAAGAAGAAGAAGAAAAAAACCAGAATAGAGAGAGCAGGAGAAATCAGTTATCCCCCTGGCATAATACTCAGCAATCGGAACATTTAGGACCTACCCATTTCTGCAGACAGACTAATCAACGAGGCAAAGAATTAAATCCTCCCAAGCCTGTCGCTGCAGCTCCGCGGTAATCCAAAAGAACAATGCACATTCTGCTAAACTCCCAAGTTTGGAAGCACCATGCAAAGAGACTGGTTAAAATTCCCTACCATGCAGTGCAGCCATCATCAGAAGCCCAGCATATCTTCTGCTCTATGTAGTGATGTGCCAGTTCATGCACAGAACAGAGGAGAAGAAAAATGGAGGAAAAGAGAGAAGGCTCAGGAAAGTCGGCAGGAATGTTTCTGGGTCATTAACAAGTGGGAGACCCCTTTCGGTATTCAAACCAATCAATCTTTATCTTACAGGACATCTTTTTCTCGCTCAGCGTCTGTTGAAAAGACTGCAGCAAACCAAGCAAGGGATTGTGGGATAGGGATGCAGCAGCGAGCTGCAATGAGATTCGCGGGTGGCTTGCTTTCCGCTCTGAGTCAGCAGTCAGCTGTTTCCACGCTCTCTTGCTGGGCCGCCGAGGTCCATCACCGAGAATGTGGCTGCACGATTAACCCCGGGAGAGGCACCGGCGCGCGTCTGCCGGCGCCACGCTGCAAGGACAGGCGCCGAGCTACAAATCAAAGAGGGTGTGCTGATAAGCAAAAGGGGCACGCGGTGAGAACGGATTCTAGAAGGAAAAGGAAGTATATGATACCTCAGTTCAAATTCAGACGTGTGATTTGGGTGTGTGCGAACACACGCTTACTTCCCTAAGTCAGGAAAAAGATACCTGTTTCCTTTAGGCTTTAAGTAGCTTGAAACACAAATGTAAATTTATAGAAATGCCCAACAGCCCAGTTAAGCATCTACTATCGTTTTCCCTCTTGGTATGTACCCAGAAATGGGTCTATAAAATAGAGTTCCTCAAAGTCGAATAATGCAAATGACATTCCTCTGCTCTTTGTGGTTCTAATCATTTGACAAAAATCATGCAGTACATTCATTTGCTTCACGGGGTGAACAGAACCCGTTGTTTTTCTGATGATGGGAAAGTTTTTCAGTTAAGGGTTGAGAAACGACAAACCTGGCATACATACATAACTTGATTTCCTAGCAGGTGACTGAACTTATTTTTAAAAGGTTTTAATAACATAAAAATGATAAAGTAGCCATATAAAAACAATTAGATCTTGGCACCTGGGTGGCTCAGATGGTTAAGCGTCTGCCTTCGGCTCAGGTCATGATCCCAGGGTCCTGGGATCAAGTCCCACATCGGGCTCCCTGCTCCTTGGGAGCCTGTTTCTCCCTCTGCCTCTCTCTTGCTCTCTCTCTGTCTCTCATGAATAAATAAATAAAATCTTTAAAAAAAAAATAAAAACAATTAGATCCTCATATTACAAATAATACTTTAGAAATTACAAAGCTTACATATCAGAATGGAACTTAACAATCATTCCCTTTTCTACAGCAATGGAGGCAGGGAAACATATTCTATACGCTGGTTAGTTACTAGTTTAAAAGTGGACACTAAACATTTTATTTAATAATAAAATTGTTGGGGCAAGTGGGTGGCTCAGTTGGTTAAGCGTCTGCGTTGGGCTCAGGTCATGATCCCAGGGTCCTGGGTAGAGCCTC